ACCTTCTGAGGGTGAGACTTCCTACTCAAAGTCTCAAACATAAGCTCTGCAGTATCTTTTTTTTTTTTTAAAGTAAATATTGGATCCTAAAAAGATCATTCAGACTGTTTAAGCCCTTAGCTTAAACTATTTACACATCAGATAGAGAAGGTTAGGTACTGTAAACATGGCTAAGAACTGGAAGTAATGCCTGCCTCTCTGTGGACTAGATAACAAGCTTGTTTAAATCCAGCTGATTAGGAAACAGGAAAAAAAAAAAGGATATATTGACCCACTAGCCAGATCCTGAGCTTCATAGCATCTCTCCTTCTCCCACCTCTCTTTCAGAGTTTTTAAATAGCAGAGGCTTTTGCATAATAACCTACAGATGGTAGCATAAGGGGAACCTAACTCTAATCTCTATTTGAGTAATCTTGAATTCAGCATCTGCTTGTGAGCCAGGCTGGTGCCTTGCTCAGCTGAAGCTGGGACACTTTGAGAATAGGGACTTAAGGGGTGGATCCAGGGAAGACGTAGCACAGCAGAAGCTCATGAGAAGGAATTTTTGTGGGATGGGCAAGTCCTTGGGTTTAGTCTTTGCTTATGGTAGATCTTTGTTCAATGGAAACCTTAAACTGTTTGTGGAGTTGGGGAATATGCAACTTCTATCCTCTCGTTACAAGCCTTAACGTATTGAAGAGTTCATATAGATTGCTCGTACCTTTAACCATTACAGCAGGCTCTTTGATAGCAGTCCTACTGGTCTGCTGGTTCTGGTCACACACAGACCTTCTTCTATTGTGCCTCTGCACAGAGTAGAAAAACTAGGACTGGTCTGGTGGTCATTCCATGAGTTAATTCCTGCTTTCTACAGTGTAATTCAGTTCCTTGGTCAGGTGTTCTGTATCCAAGGAGCAAACACATAGTAAGTGAGATCTAGGGTCAAAAGATATGTGGCATCTGTACTTCAGAATGAAGAAATGTTCCAAGTTGTGCTGTTTCTCTATATGGCTAAAAGTTTGCAAGTGAAAGCATACCCATCAGTAACTTCCTTCTGCCATCTGATTGCCAGAATTATCAGTGGTTTTGCAAGGATTGCGCATTTCTGACCAACTTTTTATAAGTTATGTGATATAAACGTAATCGTCATCTGCTTTTGTGCTCTATCAAGAACATTGTCACACTAGTAATAGGAAAAGATTATTCCTGTTTCAGTCTGCATAGAACTGTACGTACCTGCCCTTTTCACCCTTCTATGGAAACCTCTTCCATAACTAATGTGGAAAACATGTCATCTGTGTCCTGCCTCTTCATCTCTGAGTTGAGTCACTCTGAGGACTTGAGCTGCTCTCTAAAGAGCAGCTCTATTTTAAAGGGGAACTGAAGAAAATATTGGTTATGTTTTTTTCAAGTCCTGCCTCAAAGATATTCAGATTGTCCATGGTTTAACAGTCTGTCTTGTATTAGAGTATTCAAATGATTGCTATCATTATAGTTACGCTTCCACTTCCACATTTGTCTTTGAAACATGGAATGTGCTAGTTGTAGGGTTGTGGAATAGGTATTTAGCAGTTTCAGGTTTTTGTTTTACACAAGAGCTACATTCTTCCTACTGCTTCGCTTATGGTAAATATAGGCACAGGTTCCAGAGCTCTGCGAAGCTGGGTGAATGAGGGCTTGAAGGTAAAAAATGGTCTGATGGTAGTCAGAACTTCTGAAGTGTGAGCAAAACTCTCCTGGATCTGGAGCACATATTATTCTCTTTGTAATTAATTAATAATTTTTAAAAAGCTGATAAGGGTAGTCGTCTTGTAAGATTCAGACCCCCTGTAATACTCGGAGTTGTTTTGAAAACCTGTATTTTTAAGGGTAGTTGTTAAACCATGCAACACTACTGAGCTCATAATGTTAAGTCCAGTGTTTGAAAGCTGAGATGTGGCACTGACAGGAGAAAGTGTTCACTGTTGGCAATCCTTTCTATGATTTTGGAGTCCTTGACAGAGGAAAAGCAGGTCAGTGTTCTGTTTGGTAAATTACACTTCAGTTAATGCATTGTGTTTGACTGATAGTACTTCAAACCTGGGCCAGATATTTGCTGTGGGCACAAGGGAAGGTTATGTGTGAGTCTCTTCCATCTCTGTCTTTGCAGCTCTGAATTAACTGGACAATCTTCACACACAAAATTAGCTTATAGTACATGAATATATTTTGATGCTTTCCAGCTCAAACCTGTAAGGAAGATCATATTTAAGTCCTGTAACTAATCATGTTCTGGTGAATGAAGGAAAGTAGTAAATTGATGTTGGAAATGGTCATGGTATCTCTTGAGTTACTATGGTGTTACATGGAAGCAGAGCTGGGCAATCTTCTGGAAGCAAATAGTTTTAACTTTGTAATGTGTTGTAGCATCATCGTTATTAACTGTATGATGTACAGTTGAAGCTCAAACTATTGAGTTTTAGTATCATTATTTTGATCGTAAATGCTCAGTTTCATTGCTGTCCTGAAAATAAAGGAATGAGAACTTAGTTTTTCAGCCCTGTAGAAGTAAACTACTGGGGATATTTTAATACTTGTCTGACCACCAATTCCTCAAGTCACAGGAGAATTTCCTCTGTCAACTGAAAGTTAAAGTTTTGGCAATATGTGTTTGTAAGGGGTGAAAAAAGTAGTCCATATCGTTTTAGTGAGGAATAAAATTCTCAAGTTTTGTTTGCCATGGAGCTATCTTTGTGAATTCTAGTATTTACAGGTTTTCCTATTTTTGTAGGGCACTGGATGTGTTGCTTTCTGCCTCTTTTTTCATAGCTGCCTTGCTATGAAGAGTAGTGTGTCGGAAGCTCTGCAGGGATTATTTTGACTGCTCAATTTGTGTGCTGTCTTATGTCTTGCAACAGAATTTTTTATAAACTACCATAAGCCTTCTAACACTTAGTTTCATGGATCTTAATGATTTTTTTTTTTTTTTTACTCTTTTTGTATACTCTGCTTTTCAGATATGTCTTAACCTGTTGATGGGCTGCTGTCATTAGCAGTCTGTTGCAGTCTGTGTTGGGGAGGACACAGGACCTTAAATCCTCATTGCTGTCTCTTCTGTGCTTTCTATGTTTTGGGCTAAGCAAAGTCAAGCACAGACAAAGATGATGTGTGTAACATGATTTTAAATGTGGTTTATATCTATACAACAGTGTTGGGTATACAGGCTAGGTGGAGTTATTCCTAAATGTACTTTAGACAAAGATTTTGAGTTGAAATAACCTGCATATTAAGTTGTGAAATCTACATTTCTCTGGGCTTTTGAAGATGGTGTGTAAGTCACCAATCACAGAGGAAATGAAATGGCATCTCAGGCCAGTGCAGATGGTCACCTTGGTAGTGTCCTTGGGGGGTGGGTGTCTGACTGGAGCAAGGCAGAGAACTGGAGTGTGGATTATTGGGTTGGCAGTCAAGTATTTGTGCAGGATTTCAGGAAATGCTTTGACCTCCGTTTCCCTCTGCATCTCGGCCCTGAGTCATGCCTGTTACCTGCTGGTGAGGACTTACAGCCAGCTCCGACACAGGGCTTACCTGGGCTGTGAGTGCCAGTCTTGCTTTCATGGTGGCAAAGGTTGAAAAATTATTTAAGATGGCTTTAAGCCCCTACCTAGAAACTGCTCCTCTGGCAATAACTAGCTGTTTTGCCACAGTGTTTCAGCAAACTATCTTGCATGGAGTATGCTGAATCTCTCAGTAAAACCCATTAACCCCTGTGTTACTGGCTTTACCATTCTCCCCTGAGAACATAGCGATTAATAAATTTCTCAGAAGTGTTCTTCCTTGTAGCTCAAATGAGTGCAAAACGTGGAGGTTGGGAAGCAGTGGCTGTGATTCTGCCTGTTGAAATGTCTGCCAGAGAAAAACGAACACCATGCAATTCACAGAAGACTCTTTGCATCTTTATGGTTAATAGTTTTCTTGAGCATGAATTTTGTATGGAGAGCAAGATTTAATCAGGTGCTGTACTTCAGAGTCTAATTCCACCTTCCCCTTAAGTGACAAAACTAATGAAGTAAGGGATGGTCCCTTAAATGAATAGGTGAAGTCTCCCTAATTTACCAGGAACAAGTAGATCTATTGTCTGCTTCCTTCTTTTGAACTCATCATCCTACAAAGCTACGCCAACACAGTGTGTGGAGGGCAAGCAAGGATATCTCCTGAGAATGAGCTTACTCTTTTGTTGTTCACCTGCTATTCTCATTAGCCTGTCAAAGAACAGTGTTAATTTACTTCACAAAGGTCTGTTGAAGTAAAGAAAATTAGTTTTTGAACAAATATTGACTGAAAACTAAGATGGCAGCTAGTTTAGTTTTTCTCAGCTGTGTTATTTATACTGTAGGTTACAGTTTGGGGATCTATTATTTAAAAAAAAAAAGGGGGAAAAAGAAAAAAAACGCTCTTGGCTGGTTTTATCAACTGAACCAGATTAATCTTGATCATGTATATGGAATGGTTGCCTTTAAAGCTGCAGAGGTCTTCCAAAGGGACTGCATATCTACAGCCTTCTGTGTGTACCCCCGCTTCAACACCCCTGTCCTTTTGATGTACAGTGCAGCCTGGTTGCTCCTGGCCAGCACACCTTGTGTCTCCAGTTCCTCCTGTCTCGCCAGACTTTTTTCTTTGCCCAGCACTGGCAGATTACGTAGTCCCCCTGCATGTGGATGTTTCCATGATCCCTCCAGTCCGCTGTACCTGCTGCTGTTCTGCCAGATTGACTTTTTCCATCCAGAATTGCTGTGCAGCTGTAGCTGCTGGCACTTGCTTCTCTTTCTCACCTGAAGGCCAGTCCGCAGCAATGGGTTGTCAGGGAAAAAACACAGCACGGGAGATGCTGAGCAGCCAGGAGAGGGAGCAATGCAGAGCAGTGTGGAACTGGTGGGGCAGAAGGGTCTCCAGCAGGCTTAAATAATTGCTGTCAGTAAAACAAAATCCTGCGTGCTGCTTCGGGTAGTTATGAGGAAGTTTAAACACTCGAATTTGGCAACATGATGGTATGTGCATTGGTCCCGTGGAAGTGTAACACGATTTTTCAGTTTAATGATATGATCAGTCATGCTTGAAAAAAGTTCATTCGCTGGTGCTGAATAGGAAGCTTTTCATACTGTAGTGTAGCAGGGTAGAAGGAAGTATTTTTGTTGAGTATGTTGAAGGAAATTGCACATGTTGCAATTGCATAGATGGTCACTTAGCCAGCAGAACTTTCAAATTGTGTTACCAGGCTGTAGACAGTGACAGTGCTGCTCTGCTCAGCGACTTACCAAGCAGTGTTTGAGTGTAAGACCTTATGGCTTCCATTCCGAAGTTTTTAACCGAATTGTTAATTTTATACAGTTGCTTGGCAAGAGGACCATAAATGAAAGGGACTGAAATAGGGCAGTGGAACAATTGTTAAAACAAAGCCTATGCTTTAACAAAGTGAATAAGGTGGCTTGGATGTTTTTTAGATTTCCTTTTCTGCAAGAGAGTGTAGTGCTTCATACAGCATTTGCAGGAAAAAAATCAAACAATATTAATTTGCCAGGCACCTGCTTATCACTGCAAAACAGCATATTTTTTATTAAATGCTTGTTGATCAGGATTATCTGATGTAAGAGGAGATGCTGATAGCTGATTAAATACAAATTAACACTGAATATTTAATGCCTCTTCAGCTGGATTTGCAATGACATGACAGGGATTTTGTATTTCTAAAACAAGTTGATGCTAAAACCAGATGCGTTGCAGGATGTGTTTGACTTTGCTGTAGAAGCAGAAAGAGAATTGTAGTATAAAATGGAATGATCACTCTCTAAAACAAACTTTGAGATGCGACATATTGACAAGGTGGATTCTGATACCAGGAACAATACCTGAAGTAGGAGCAACAGTGGTTTTACTGGAGATAGGTTAGGAGACGACACTCAAGTATTTAAATTAGCTGAAATCCCTGAAACAGAAGCAGCCTACAAAACCCTAAATGGAAGAGGCTTATCAACCTTTCACCACAGCAGAAAGGTGCCATTTTTGGTCAGTTCATCATCCAGTTACTGTACTAAAAAAGGTAGACTGTTTGCTAGATAAACCTACTCCAAATGAACTTAAACACCCTTCAAATGCTTGTAATAGATCTCAGTGCCACATTTCCATAGGAAATGCTGTTCTGTCTGACCATGCGTTTACGAATTTTCTAAACCAGAAACTTAATTTTGAAGCAGGAAATCTAAGTAATCCTGGAGTAAGTTCAGAAAGGTAAAAACTGCCATTGGCCAAATTTGTCTTTAACTGATGAAAACTGTAGCATTGAAGCATTTTTCCCTGCATGCAGTATATATGACACTGTAAATAAAACTTGAACCGAGACCTACTTTTTTCTACTGCAATTATGTGTAACTTGGCTCACTAATGCAGGGATGTAATGCTTTCTGTTTTTTGGGGCTGTAACTATGTGTAACTTGAGCACTGCATCTCAGCACTACTTATTTCTGATGCTTGTGATCACGGATAGCTACTTGCCTTACTGAGTCACAGAAGAGTTTGTAAGGATGCCACTCCATTTGCTTGTAATGTCACTTCCATAAAATCACAAGTGTTTTTGAGATTGGCATGTTGTATTTGCATTCCTGAAGATTTATGTAGTTTCCTTGGCACTGCAGAATTAACTTTGATTTACCCTTGGCACTGGCTTATGTAATTGAAATACTGTGTATTGTTTATGTTTAATGGTATTCTTCTTTTCCTTCAGATTCTGAAGACGAGCTGCTGCATCCGTAATCTGAGGAAGGGAGTTCTCTGTTAAGACTGCAAGAAGATACTACCAACTGGTAAACACTTCCTTAGGTGTCTTTGCTTATAGAATGTTTCTTTTATGTTTTACATAACATTTGAGGCCAAGGAGTACAAAGTATTTTGCTCTATTGAAAGCAAGAAGTAGTTAATGTGTTTTTTGGTTTGGTTTTGGTGGGTTTTTTTTTTGGTAATTAACTGTAGCTTACCAGTCAAAAGGCTTAGTAGCAGTGGATAACATGCGGGTATTTAAACTGGAATACAAAGTGATTAAATTCCTTCTGTTGCAGTAGGAGAGAAAAAAAGACTAGCCTTTTTTCTGTAGTGGGACGTTTAACATTGTCTATTTGCCTTTTCCACTGAGACTAATACAATGTATTTGTACCTCTTACTATATAAAGACTATTCGAAGTATGATAGTGCAGACACTGAAACTTCAAATCTGATGCTTCAGAGCCTGGAGAGACAGAAAAGGAAACTTTAACAAAATGTAGTTTAGAAGTTGAACATGGCTAAGCATGCTAGTTTGAGTGTCCAGGTGCTTTGGAAGATGCCATTAATGTGCTTGTAGTTATTCTGTGGGTGTTTGAGGCATAATTTCCACTGAAAATAATATATAATGATAAAATTAAGGATGTATTGTAATTCACAGACATTTAAAGTCATCTGCAGGTTCAGAATGGTAAAAGGATCATCACTGAAGAGCTATAACCACTTAGGAGTTTACCAGCCCATAAGTTAAGAGGTTGAGCTACACTGTTACAAGGCAATCGCAAGGAAACATGAGAATTAGGACATCTGAGTATGCCTTGACATAGTTAAATCATATGCACATTGATAGTAGGTACGAGATTTATATCTCACTTCTCAAATACTTAATGTTGTAAATGAAGTAGCAGTCTTCGGTATGGCGCAAGACATCCACAAGGTTGTAAACTAAATATTCATTCAGTTTTCCTCTGTGATTATACCTTAAATTATACCTTCTATAAAGCTAGAATTCTACCCTTCTGTTTACTGCTGCCATTTGAGCTATAGGGCTAAGTAAACTCGTGTCAGGAGAGGGTTCTTAGCCCAGAATGGGGTGATGCAGCTGGGTCCAAGGATGAACGTGAAGAGAAGCAGCATCCTAGCCACTAAGGAAACATGAAGCTTTTATGACCCAAATATTTACAGATGCTTTGTTAGTCTTCGCAAGCCAGTTATTCTGCCTAAATTTTATAAGCAATCGAGGACAACTTTATGAAGTTGTGTTGCTGTTGCTAATAACCAGGGTTCACAAAGAATACTAAAATACTTTGTTCTGTTATTCTGCCACTCTGCCAAACCTAGACTAATGATAGAAAAGTTTTGAAGGCTTATAGTGGTCAATAATGTGCATCTGTCAGAAATGACATAGTGAAAACAATGGTTGACTTTATGTAGTCTTTTTTTTATATAAAGATTACTTGTACAGTACAGCTATTTGTGCATGATAATTTCAAGAGCTTTGTTGCCTGCGTCTGTAAAATAGCAGCTTCTGAAACTAAAATGTGTATGAGACTCCTTCCCAAGTACTCAGTTTGAAAATGCATGTCCCTCAGTTTACAGGAGAAACAACCTGTGGCATGTAGAATGTCACAATTTGAGGTACCAAAGCACTGTATTACCAACACAAGTTTTGAACCAAACTGTAATTATCTGATAGTAATTTTTAAGTTAATCTTTTGGATTATTCTGATCATATATGATGTGAACAAATACTGTATCTCTGCCACTAAATTGGAGTGCATAGCTTGCTCCATACAGAAAATTGAATATCTCATTAGCCTAGCAGTGAGGGGTCCTCTGTCCATTTCCCTACTTCAGCTTCCCTTCCCACTCCGTCATCACCCCACCTTCTCTCTGAGAGAGGAGTTTAACAGGATGGCCATGCTGAGTGAAACTGGGTAAATCTAGAAAATAGGTCTTTGTCTCTAACTGTGGTAAAGTATTTGTCTTAATTCAGAATTTCCTTTTGGACCAGGAAGTGCTTTTTAGCTTGGGAGTAGTGCTGCACAAACTTGATTTTGCCGTTTCCAGCATTAACTTTGGTCTGGGAAGACATGAGCTGAGAGCGCACTGAACTCTACCACATTTTAAACCTGACGTGGGTCTCAGCACAGGCCCTCAGCTCTGGTAATATGCTGAAAAGAGAGTGTGACACATGGACACCGCGTCCCTTGGGGCAGAGTGTGTCTGGGTCTTGCATGACTGGTGCCAAGATAGAAATATTAAGCCAGCTGGACTTTGGGGTGGTGCAGACTAGCCCAAACGGTTGTGTAAGACATGCGTGCCTATTTTATCCAGGTGGTATTTCTTTTGGTTATGATGTTTGAGCTGTCCATTATCACAGACACTGAAGGACATACAACATTTTAGCATTTGCCCTATTCTTCTTGTGTTAGCTTTTCTTTTTCATTACATTAACTTTAGTTGTACGGGATTATTTTTCCACAGTATCAGTCATTCAGAAAAGATCTCGGTAATTATCTCCTGCTTTTGAATATAATCTCTGATAATTATTCATTCTTATTTTATAGCTTTATCTCTCATATGCAGCTTGAATTTGTCTGCATGCTTGAAGATTTAAAAATCTTTCCATGCAACTTAAAATTGTTCCCCTGTAATGATGATGGGGAGGTGTTTGGCGCAAACTGATTAACGTGTTGTGGAGTCCTGTTCCAGCATTGATACTGTGGTGTTTGTGGATTAACAGGTTTTGCATTTTGTACTAATTTTAATAAATATGAAAACACCTTCAGTATTATATTTGCAAAGTGAAAGCAAATGCATACCTGTCATTTTCTTATTAATTTTGAGAACTCTTTGTTGTGGCTTGTATAGCTCTTATAAGAGTAGCATTTGTCTGGCTGACACATCTTTAAATGTTGTGCTTCTTTGTGGGGAGAATCTTTAAAATCTCTTCGGTAACAATGTCAGTCTTTTAGTGCAAATCCCATAATATGTGTTAAACTTAAAAGGAGCAGGAAAGTTTGTTTCTAGTTGTCTCTGTACCTGTGTGCCTACAAAGGTTAGAAGTGAAGGACCTCATTCAGAAGAGATACTGTATTGAGTAAGGCCATATTGCACGTGTTACAGACTTCTGTATGGCTTTGGCTGTCTGGGAAGTTTATATAAAGTTAAATGTGCTGCAAGAAATACAAAGCAAGGTTTTGTTTTGTTTTGCTCAATGCTAAATGTTTCATCCATTAAACAAGGAAATAGGTCTTAAAAAAGGTGCAGCTTTTAATGTGTGCTTTCAGAAGGATTTGTTCAATTTGGGGAAAACTATGTAACCAACGTAGAAAGTGGTGAAGTTACAAATGCTTCTGAGCAACCTGAAAAGCTTTCATGCAGAGCCTACCAGATACCAACAGTAGGGTAATGTGGGAACCATCGGGGTAAAAGAATAATCTGTCACAGTGAGGTTATATACTGTAAATACATGAAGAAAAATGAATACATTTCTGACAATTGAAACCACTTTTACTTCCCATTTGTGCCACAAGTTAAAACCAATCTCCTTTGGTAGTGTTGCTCTAAATACATTGCTGTAGATTTGCCTATAAACTCTATTTGCAGTTCAGCAGAGCTTCTTGAATTGATTTGTCATCCATGTGAAAGTGAGTTTGTTGAAATGGTTCTTATATGGACGTTAAGTACCTTCTTGTGGTTTTGACACTCGCTATGAAATATTTTGGTAGAAATTCTGATCATGTTACTGATGTTCTACCAACATGCATTTATTTTGTATTAATGCTGGTATCTAAGGCAAGAAAGAGGAATAGCTGACTTTTTTTTTTTAGGCCAAACTAAGTTGTCTCCTATTTACTTGCTGTATTTTATCTTAGGGCTAGTTTAATGTGGCTGACTGCGATACCATGGGAATAGATTGAGGAGCTAAAAGCTTTTATGCAGTCCTGTGTTTTTTGAAGTCTAATAGTACGTATTAGCAATGAATGTAAACAACCTGCCTGTGCTGATGCAATGTAATGTGGTATCTTTTCTCCCACAGTGGATGTAAAATTATTTAAAACCTTGAATGAAGATGGTAGTAATCTGCAAATGATAAGTGAGAGTGGTTTTTTACAGTAATCAAGCAGAATTCAGTGTAGAGCTCTTCCAAAATATCCTTCCTATACGTGCAGCAGTACTACTGCAACAGTTAGTAGAGTAAGTTTAAAAAGTGAGTTTTGATAATGGCACATTTAGTAAACTGTGTTCTGCTTCAGCCTTTAACCATGCTGATTTGTTTATGAAGGTAAAGCTGCTATTTTTCTCTACCTGTAAATAGTTGCCCAGGACAACATGAACTGTTTAATTCTGTTTGTCCAATGAGCCTTCAAATCAAAGACATTAATTGCAGGGTTGTTTTGACTTTTTGAAAAGTCGCTTTTAAACAGATGAGCAGAATATGTAAACTTTGCTCATCAGAAAGGCGTTTGACCTGAAAAACTGTGCTTGTTGAGATGGGTGACTGGACTTTCGTATTATATGTGGTCTGTTCTATTGGGTTAATGTCAGATATTGCTTATTTCACTTCCTGACTTACAGAAGGACTCTTAAATGCTTGTTAAAGGACATTTCTAGGTTTTGTGGGAGTGTTTTTGTTGGGGTTTTTTTAACTCTGTAGGGACTTGGACTATTAACATGTAGTCCTTCAGATCTGGTTAATATTCAGTTTACTGCTTGACCACATAACTGCAGTTTTATTATTTAGAATCATAGAATATCTCAAGTTGGAAGGGACTCAAGGATCATCAAGTCCAACTCCCTGCTCCTTGCAGGACTGCATAAAACTAAACCATATGATTAAGAGCATCATCCAGGTGTTCCCTGAACTCTGACAGGCTTGGTGCTGTTAACTACTTCCCTGGGGAGCCTGTTCCAGTGACTGACCACCCTCTTAGTGAAGAACCTTTTCCTAATGTCCAGCCTGAACTTCCCCTGATGCAGGTTGCCCCCTTTTAGCTTATCATGGAATTAATTTTGGAAATTATTGAGCAGAAATAATGTG